TTGATAAGATTAGATAGCAATTTCAGCGCACTTTTGCAGTGAAACTTTTGAAAATATAAAGGTTCGTTAAGAAAAGAAGGATTTCTAATATTTAAGTTGCATTATTTTAGTAATATTAAAAAGCTAGAATTCTACATTTCTAAGTTCTCCAGAGTGATTAAGTATGTCGCCATAACAGCGCCTTTGGAGTGCAAAGGGTTAAACATTTTAATTTAGCTCGAACGCGTAAACGGATCGATGCAGTGTTCAAATTTTTTCTGCAACGGTAAATCATTCTGACTGTGCTTCGAATGATGATTCAATGTCTAAATAATCGAATTTGCGACGATCCTGAGGTCTACAAGGGGGAATAAATTTTTCGGTCCTTCAGCCGCGATATTTAAAATTTTGAAATTAAAAAAATTTCGATACAGCGGTAAATCGTTCTAATCCTGCTTTCGACGATGATTCAATGTCTAAATAATCGAATTTGCGACGATCCTGAGGTCTACAAGGGAGAACAAATTTTTCGATCCTACTTTCTCGATCCCTCTGCCGCGATATTTATATTAATCCGGCGGTTTTGCTTCCATTTACTATCCATTTCCGCGTAAGACGGCACTAGGGGTAACACGATTCCTCGGTGCATCCAACTCCGAGATGCACACTGTGTTACTCCGTTGTGCAGTGGTGTCTTGCCTTAAGATCGTGTTTCACGTTCAAGCGGAAAACGTATCGCAAATATGTGTGCTCCTGGCATAATATCCGCAATAAAATGAAACAAGGTTTCACTCCTTCCTCCTAGATGTGTGTGTGTGTGTAATGGAGCACGGTTGTTTATGCACTCGAAGCTCAACGTGTTTATAATCTGGTTAGACACGTAAAATATCGCCAGAATATCTCGATCTGACGGAACACAATGGGATAACTTACTTATGGTAGAAAGGAAATATTTTCCCAACTGTGTCGAGGTAATTTTCACGAGAACGATGTTTTCCAGGGGATCTAAGTAAAGTTTCGGCCTGATATCGATCGGCAAAGTTGGCTTGATTACGACCACCCTAAGCAAACTGTTCACCCCTTGTGTAAGCTCTAGATTATGATCTCTATTCCATGGTAGGTATATATATATATATACATACGTACATATATGTACGTTTAGAGAGGCTGACTCTTTTTCCCTTGTAACACGTTGTTGCTTTTCTAGCTAGGTAGATAACCTTACTCCTCTTGATCTTTTAATAACACAAGCATAACGTTTTTCTTCGATACACCAGGCCGTATATATTTCCAAGATCGTTCCGATAGATACAACGAATGTTTCGTTTCCTCTGATCTCCAATGAAATTCACATATACATACACGTTTCCTTAAATAGTCAAGTTTCTTTCTAAATATTCCCCCCTGGTTATAATACTACAGCAAAATCAACCGTGTGTGTGTTCTAGACACAGAGAGAGAACAGCGGCTTCGACGGTTCTCGCGTATCGCGCTTTCACTCCGCGAGACAGGTTTAATTTCATGTCCGATCATTTCACAGATATTACTAATTATAATACGCCCTCGTTTTTCACCGTGATTCGTAGTACGAGGCGAGCTGATATTTAACGTCTCAATAATTGGCGAATCCTGAAGATAGAAGCAAGAATGATAATCCTTCTCGACGTTCGTTGAGTTTAAATTACAGCGGGTTAATTGTCCCCAAAGTTTCGGTGGGGCAATTACCTTGGAAATTTACGAGTAGAAGTACAATTAGATCGCGGACGATATTTATCTAAAACGTGTCTTACGACGTCAGATTTGATATTCGCTCTGAAGGAGCGAACCGTCGAACGAGCTTGAAGCTTTAAGATGAAATCTTTAGAGCAGACCGGTGCCACGATCGTTCCGTAACTCGTCGATAATATCTCTGCAAGGCAGTCGTGGCGAACAATAATTAACGGTGGCAATAAATAAGCCGGTCACCGTATTGTGAAACGATAACGTTTCGCGTTGTAAATGCAGCCAGTTTCAACGGCGGCTCTAATTAGTCGGACAATTATTGCGCGTTGATCCAATTCGAGCTGAGATTACGCTCGCTTATCTCGCCGAACGCGGTACCGTTTTACACGTTTTCCCTTAACCCTTTCGCTGCGACAGATTTTAGCAGGTAACGCGGTGATGCGAATGTTCTCTCGTGGCTGGAAAATTTGGTCTCAGTTCGATTCCAGGGGTTCTGTATTCTTGGAACGAAGGGAAGATCGTGGAAAAGAAACTCGCGATTTAACCCTTTGATCCTTTTTTTTTAATTATTCTTTTCTGCGTTTAATAGAGCATTAATCGTCTTTGAAATCCGTAAAATCTTTTATTTTGGCTGTATCGGAAGTGTGTAAATTAAGGATGAAATTAAGACGAAAGTACACGAAATGGTCTTGAAAAAAATTTTCAAAGCTCCTACAGGCGCCAATAGCGACGAGAGGGTTAAGGATAACCACGGATCTCGCCTTACTCAAAATTATTTTACGCTACTCCTGGAGCAGAAAATGCCTGCTAAAAGTGTCGTACACTCGCGTGTAGAAGGTACATTTATATTCTCGTAGCAAGCTTCTTGGCTGAGAGCCTGAAGAAAAGTTGTAAGAGCTAGAGGGAAGGAAGCTTTCACGGGGTGTGATCGTGTGGCGATATGCAAAACAGGCGAAGGGCGTCTGTGATGGCTATTATCGTTTGCCCTTTCACGATCGATTATTGCTACGGCGCTTGCCTTTTTACGCGTTGCCGAAGGGTGGCACGAACATCTGTGTGGCGTCAATTCATCAATCTGACGTCTTTATTCCCTTTCTCAAAGGAAAAGAGTAAATCTGTCTCAACTTGAACCTTCACGCTGCCCTCTTGTTGCCGGTTAATGGCCTTTCTCTGATCTTCGGTTAAAAAGGAAAAGGAACGCTCTCTCTGTGGTACTTACACATCCGTGAACTTTGAAAAAGTTTCCTCGCCGTAGTTGAGCGATTCAGTTCTTCAAGTTTTACCTGCGGAGAAGTTCAAAGTGCTTTAAAGTCTTCGCAATATTTCCTCAAGGTTACCGTCTTTATGACTTCGAATTCACGTGAAAGGGACGTTACGCACAAAGAGCTTTGCAGCCGGCTACTGAATTTATCTTCCTGAGGGCAGGTGTCAAAAGAGATTCTCTCGAATGTTACTGCTTTACGTTCTATTGACACTCAGGTAGGAAATATACACCGTGCTGTAGACCGAAGTACTCTAATGCGATCACTTTTAGTATTTTCGTCGTTAGTGGGTCTCTCCAAATTTTTTGTCACAAATCTTGAAGAATCTTAAATGTGACGATATTAGACTTTTCTATCTCTTTTTAAAATAACTTTCAAAGTCACTTTCAACATTTTTATGCACAATCCTAGATTATTAAGCTATTTCATATTTATTTTCCTAATTATTTTCGAAAATCCATTCCTATTATCTCGACCCAGAGAAACTTCAATTCCCTCTGAAACAACCTAACACTTGCTACACAGATAAAATCTCCAACATCGAACTAATCACATCGTACACGAGGTTACACAACTGTAACCAACAACGCCAATATTTTTCAATCAATAAAAATAGTAGTCTCCGTGTGTATATACCTAATATCATCGACAAGCCTCTTCCTAGGCGGCACGAGGAAGAGACCACCGTGGTTAACTTTCCCCCGGAGGGTGCTCCACCCGGGGCGAGCGCTCATTGAAACTGAAGGGCACTCGTCGAACTGAAAGGCGTGTCCCAATTTGATTTCCTTTGGCTGACAGCGTGGGCTTCAACCTCCCTCTATCCCCGTGGACCGTGCGAGAGGAGAGAAGAAATCTAGGTGTGGTCGATAAATGGCCACCTATAAGCGTCGATTCGTTAAATTGGCAATCAATTGTTCGGCAGGGCTTGTTTACGGTCGGATCGGGACCCTCTAAGGACCATAACCACGGCGAACGAATCGTGGTGGCAAGCTGGAGAAACTTTTGTCGCGTCTCGCGGCGCAAGTAGGAACAGACGTGGAAAAAGCAGCCTCTGCAGGAAGGATTACGACACGTCGAAGAGTTGGCAAGACCATAGAACATCCGCCACTTAACTCGTTCCCTCGTCCTATCCCTCCGTTAAGGTTGCCTCGCAAAATTGCTCGTAATTCATATTGTCTCATTCCGGCGTAACGGTGCATCCAATCAACGCCAATCTCGCTTCGGAAACGCTGAGTTGTAAAAACCACCGACGTAGTACATTCGAAACAGCCACCTTGTACATACGTGTGGTACATATGTATACATACGTACATATGTACCTACTGCATCGTTCAGTCTAAGTTGAACGTTTTCCAGGAATAATTTCGTACGTCACGCCAACAGCGTAACGAAACATGTCTCGTGATCATCGGAGTCAGAGGACAGTCCACCCTCTACCGACGACCCGTAAACCGTGTAACCGGTCGTGTTTGCCTCCGAACGAAAAAAAAGATTGTTGGCATAATGGGCGGATGAACGGTCGGTAGTCGCGGCGGCACGGTTGTAACAGATCGTTACATGGAAAAATGTCGCTCCGGCTAAGGAATGCATGCAGCGGCGGTGGTGCTTTAGAATGGTAGATGGTGTATATACAGGGTGTTCCTTAGCCATTTAGACAGGGGGGATAGAAAAACAAGGAAAAGAGCACTGTTTTGACCTAGTTCTCGAGTTGTAGCCAGTTCTGTATGCAACACTAACGTGTGCAGTCTTTGAAATATTTCAATTTCTGGCAGACGTCTATTAGAGAAACAAAATGCAGGTCTGTCGTTTCGTTGTCAATTTGCAACGCACGAGAAATTAAGGAATTTTCGAACGTCACGGACGAGATATATCAACGTAATCAGTTGCACTGCGTGGCTCAGTTTGTCGCTAAGAATGATTAGAACAGAAAAGTGGTTGTAATTCAGGAAGAAGGTCGAATGGGAATTTTTTCGTTGCTCCTGTGAAACACCCTGTATACGGATAATCGAGGATAATGCGACGTGCACGTCAACTCACCTGAAACAAATTGTAACCTTTATCGTACATCCACATCTCATCAGCTGGATGCTCCTTGGGACTCTCCCGTTGGCTGGCGTTCAGAACCTGAGGAGGCGGACCCCTGGTCAGCTGAATCGCCAGGGACCTTTGTAGAAGCAAGAGGCATCGGGAGGGTCCCGAGCCTCCGGGGCCCGTCCCGTCTCCCAAGATCGAGGCCATTTTTCGAGGCCCGCTGCTAACGATTCCAGACACTCGGCGGCGGTGGCATCACGAGTTCTGTAACACAGGAAACGGACCCGTTATAATTCATTTCTAGCGTAATAATGATCGTTTATCGACGAGTTCTCGCTGCTTCATTCACGTCGGAGAATATGCAAATAGTGTAGAGACGTAGAGAATGGAAAAAGGAGGCAGTTTCATGGGTTTCTCTGGGTTCTCTGGTAGAGAGATGTACAGAGTAGAGTTTTTTTGAGTAGGTTGGTGTGAAATTGATAGAATGCATTCAGGAGGTCAAGTAAATTGAGAAAATTCATATGGTCCGTTTGTTGGAAGATTGACGCAATTAATTAACGTAGATTTTTCAGGAAATCTCTGATATTTTTTGTGGTAGATTGGTTCTTTCAAACCATTTCGTTGCTTAAACATTTACGAGAGGCGCACAGACTTATTCTCCGGTAAAATTAATGTTTTACCAAGTGGTGGACAATAGTGTCGCTTCTCAGTCGCCACTCGAGTGCAAAGGGTTAATTACTCAAAAAATTTATACCTTTTTTTAAATTTACAAGTTCACAATTTAATTTAGGAATTAATGGTTTCTAATAAAATACTGTTTACGTGTGTTGTTTGCTCTATTTTGCTATTCACTTTTCATTAGATACTCTTTGATAAATCATTTTCCCGTCTGTTTCGTTAGCATTAATCTTTCGCTACACCCTGTACAATAAGCAAGAATTATACTTAATAGAGCGTGTTTCCACTATTCCAAATGATTATACTTGGCCGAGAAAGTCGTCGGAACGATTTAAAAGTCGCTTTTCTTCTGGTCATTTAAATCTACGTCGCGCGACTTGGAGAGAATTTGCAACAGCATACATATTTCCTCGTTTTCTACCATCCAGATAGAGATCTATCGTTTTGTGTATCCAAGCTTTCCCGCGGATAACTCTTATCTGCGATTACGCGGAGGAGAGATAACGCTCGCGGAGTTCACCGTACCGTTATCCCCGTTCGCGAAACTTTCGCGCAAACTCGAGTGCAACGCACACTATCAACAATCCAGAGAGATGGATAGAGGAGACGGTGGGGCGTTGAAGCAGCCACTTTGCATTAGTTATGTTATTCCCAGACGTTCACGAGGATTCTCTCTCCGTTCGACGATTAGCGCTTCTCTTAAATCTAATTAAATACCTCCGCGAAACACGCAAATCGATTTGTAATACGCTTCTACACGATGCACCTTTCGATACTCTCCTTAATCACCGTAATCATAAACTTTCTTAACAATCCCGCCTAAAGATTGCCCAACCTGGATGAAATTTTCCGTGGGAGAAATCAAAAGTAAAACAAATTTCTCTACGAAACAGCGAGACGAGCTTTGAGTAACCAAGCTACGACAACAACGAAGATATCGCGCGTAAAGCGAAGAGAGGGAAGAAAACACAGAGAGAAAGAAACGTTAATTTACAACGTGACACGTTTCGGTTCACCCTCCGTTGCCTTCCTCATTTCCTGCCAGCCATAAGGCAGCGTCACGTTCCTCTTTATTGTATCAACAACTACCACGTCGCGTCGGCCGGCCTAATTGATTTACGCCTTGGCCCTTCGCTCGTCAGCGGAGGAATCTCGCCCGCAAAAATTCACGCTGGACTCTACGGAAAAGGGTACCAGACCGAGGGAAAAACAGTTTCTGAGAAGAATTGTACGCGAAAGGGGGAGAGAGAGAGAGATGATTGTATCAACGAGGTGGCTTTGACGTGAAACAACGTCGAAAGAAAATTGTTTCCCCTGTGATGCTTTCTTTTTTTCTCTCTACGGAATCACGTTACGCTTGGAACATGATAGACGATGAGGAACTTGTTTCTTACGGAGAAGGAAGAGAAAATGTTATTTCGTTTGGAGAGATGAAATGGAGGATGGTATATTGGATTGTCGAAACGAAGGGTAGGTTTTAGAGGTATGTCACGAATCTGAAGGGAAAAGATAGAGATAAAGAGATAGAGGGAAGGAAAAATAGGTTTCGCGGAGACTTGCTGTCTCTCTAGCACAGAGGCCGGCACGATGAATATTGTATTGCTTTACAACGTGCCAAGGTACACGCTCTAAAATGCCTAGACCTTTTTCGGTAGAACGGCCCCGGTTGTAAATTTGGCACGGGAGCCTGGCAATTACGGTCGCATCGAATTGCCCGGGCCTGGAAGGAATCAACGAAGTAATCTCGCGCCTTTGGCAACGCTCCAGGGCGCAGTCGATCCAGACAATTCCTCTAATATAGTGTTGCAGTTTGCGCTGCCTCGAAGAAATTGGACCGTCCCCGTCCGTGGAATTCTCTCCGCGAATATATTTCTCCTCCCTTTGGAAACGCTTGTCCGCCTCTCCGTCTCTCGAGGGTCAGCCGGAATTCATCGCCCCGGTAAACTTTCTGACGTACTTCCCCGTTGGAGAAGCGGAGAAAGAAAAGTGGGGAAAGTTGACGGTGGTTGAATGCCGGCGCTGACAAACAACATCCTCGGCGTTTGCTTTACGTGTTTCTTTGTGGAAATGTCTTATTCGCTTAGCTTTTTTTGAGAGAAAATATTCTTCTTTGCGGAGAATACGATTAGACAGGGGGAAGAAGTGGAGAATGAGAATTAAGCGTTTCTAAAGTGATTCATTTTGCGAATAGGTGCGTTTATGGAGATTTTATTGATTGCGTTACTCGGAGGTATAATCGTTTAAGGCTTTCTGCGCGTTTCATTGAAGATTTTCCGTGAAACGTGGAGAAAAAGGAAAGATGAAGAGGGATAGTTAGGTGTTGTTAATGGAACAATAATGTAACTTTCTCAGTATTCAATTAGCAGACCGTTCATCATATTTTATTATCGTGCCGATCTTGAGAACAGGTGAAACTTTTTCTCCCGTGTCGCGGCAATTGAATGCTAGAAATGTAGATGTAAATGACGGATAGACACGCGATCCCTGCCAGGCAAAATTGTTCCGTTATGTATTTCTTTCTTTATTTTTTTTCTTTCTTCTCTTTGTCGTTCGCGTAGTCGTTTAATTTCCTTCGTTTCACCTTGTGCTAGTTTGCTCGGCTAAAAATCACGAAATCGAGATAGAGAGAGTAAAAGAAAAAAATGGACTTCCTCTGACGTGATTCATCGACGTATGCAGTTTCTTGGCTGGTGTAATAGGTTCGTGTTCTTGAAGGAGAAGCATAAGAGGCAGGAAATAGTTAGATATAGAGTAATTGTCGAATAGTGTGATAGATCGAACGGGACACGTTCGATTGCATCGGTTGAATTTACGCTAATTCAATAATCGAAGTCTCGGTTGTGATTCATCGATGAGTCTTGGGAACTATGACCGATCGAATTTGTCTCACGGAATGGATTAACAACGACAGTGAAAGCCGATCGTGAGCACACGTTATGTTTCACAGCTTAAAATCTGTAGCAATCGGCCTGTTAGGCTTTGAAAGTTTAGCAAATCTCTAGTGGCACGCGAATTTCTATTTATCGGGTGATAAAGTAGTCTGGATTTTTGCGCGTGGAATTTAAATCTTGAGCTCGCAAGGTTTGGAAAGTTTCAAGATTTGAAAATTTAAAGGTTTGATAGTTTGAAAATTTGAATATTTCAAAATTTTGAAAGTTTCAAAGTTTGAAAATTAGAAAATTTTAATATTTGAAATTTGGAGAATTTGTAAGTTTGAAAGTTTGAGAATTTGAAAGCTCGAAAGTTTGAAAATGAAGAAAATATCGACAACTCGCCGCCGGAAATTTCGCAATCACCGGAATCCCGCGAAAAGAGTGTCGCGGACAGTGTCACTGACTCCGTTTCACCTCGTGCCAATTTAAAGAACGGAAGACATCCGGTCCCGCTTCGCGCAGGGTAGACTTCCTGCAGTGTGAGTCATCGGCGTGTCTTTGCATCATGACGGATCTCATTAAGTCGCCGTCAGTCATGCCTTCTCCGCTGTTAACCGCACGTCCCCACGAAACTGACCATCCAGATCTGCCGATAGATCGATTCCAAGATCGTTCAACGATCCTTCTCTTCTCGTACCAATTTCGTTCGTTGGACGCACGTGTCGAGAGAAAGTCGTTCTCCGACCGATGCGTTATTTTAGAGACATCGAATCGATACAGTTTTATCGACTCGTCTCTTCCAGACAATTCAACCGGATGCAAATAAGAATAACCCATATCCAACAGTTTCCGATTTATCCAACTACTGAAAAACATCTACGTACGCGATATTGTCGAACGTATATAAAAGTATCACACGCCAAGTTTCACTACCGTAACATTTCCTTCGAGAATCTTATCGACATAACTTCTCATCGATACCGTTCACTTTCCCAAAGTTAGGCAAATCCGTTTATTCGAATCGCGCACACAGGCCAACCTTCCATTCTTTCCTCACAATGGAGCGATTTAAATGCATTCCTTGCGTCAAGTTATATGCCATTCCCAAAGGATACCTCGTCTTATCGAGGCGAAAGTGATTGCTTCATTCCACGAAAGCAGTTCCAATGGAATTTATCCAGTTTCTTCCCTTTATCTTCTCTAACCAAGAAACGAAGAAAAATTCAAACAAATCTTTTTCCACATTCTTCGTCTTCCTTCGTTCCTTCACCTCTGTCCTATTACTTCAGTGTAACATTTCCGCGTCGAAGCGGATAGATTCCATGACTCCCGACCTCGAAGGCACGATGAACTTGCAATTAATTGCCGTACAATAACGGGACGATCAAGATCTCACAGGCTCTACATACGAATATATCGTGGGTGGATTGCTTCTGGTGTTCCATGGTACGTTGAAAAAGTAGGCCGCGCACGGTTCATCTTCCATGAAGACTTAGCGTGGCTTGGGAAAGGCGGAGAATGAATGTGCCGGTCAGATAAGGCCCGCTGGTAATTTCTTTCTTGCCTGTTCCACGTTTCAAAATTGAACACGATAATTACCGCCTCTAATTGCCAACCGCGCATCAACGCTCTTTCGCCATCTTATTCCAATATCTCTACACCATTCTCTCTCAACACACGCGCACACATACACATATTCCACGTAATAATTGC